GAATGAACAAGGAATCACACACAGTCCTAAGCTTTTTCCTTGTCTGTAAGGCAGGGGGATCCAACCTCGGCAACTCATAGAATTCTGTGATTTGAAATTGACAGGTCTCAAAGTTGCCAAGGTTGGACACCCCTGCTGTATGATCTTCACCAGATCTGCCTGTACTTTATATTACAAGGGAAGCCAAAAACAAGTCCTCCTTAACTGAGCATCCCAATGTACATGATGTACAACTGGGAAAAAAATGTAAGAGGAAACATTACAGACAAGGATACCCCTTCTTACAGACAAATCTTAAAGTCTTAAACTTTAAGATACATGATGTATAACGGGGGGGAAATGTAAGAGGAAACTTTTCAACTCACCAATTCTCTCTCCCTTCTTGAGAATGAGTTTTGTTTGGTTTAGTCAAGTTGGATAGCAGAATCTCCAAACATATTATGATGGGGTTGCAAAGCCAGGCCAAGCACCCATGGGCAAGTTTAGCAGCATTCCATGGGCAAGATCCTGATGCAAGACAATGGGCTGTTTTATAATTAAGCAAGGAACTAGGAGTGTAAGAATACGATTGGTTACCCAAAAAAAATCCAAAAACAAAAAGTATGTGGGTCAGATTTATGCTGGACAACAAAATTTTCTCCTGGTTCTAACAGTCAAGTCTGGTCTCTCAATCTGTTTTAAACTTTCTTAAATCAAAATCCTGCTTTTTTCCCTGCCTTTTGCCAATTGTATATTATTTTAATTTTTTGATATGCTATTTAAACTTTCTTAAATCCAATGAAGAATGTAAAACTCACATGGTGCCAGTTTAAGCCTGCTGTTTTGAGGGTCTCTAATATTCATATAGTGATTTCCAAAAGTGATTAGAAAGTGAGTTCAACAGTGTCCCTGAAAGGCTCTGCTCCTGCAGAAAGTGGAAGATGCTGTCCCTTGGTACTAAAACCGGTGAGAGACCGCTGTTTTACGGTCTCACACGGAGCTGTCAATTAAAGCAGGGCTTTTCAACCAGTGGTATGGGTATCACCTGTGGTACATTGGCACCTGGCAGGTGGTACACGACCATCCTAGAAAAGTGGTAGCGGGGGAGGGGAATGAGCTGAACCGGTGGCAGCACCGCACAAGTCTGAGCGAGAGATGGCTGGAGCTGCAGGGCTGTCAGGGCTCAGCGGAAGCACCAGGATCAGCGCTTTTTCGGGACTGTCAGGGCTCAGTGGAAACGCCAGGATCAGTGCCAGGCTCCGGCTGGAGCTCAGTGCTAATCCTGCTGCTTCTGCTGAGCCCTGAAGAAGCACCAATCAGGTGGAATGTTGCAGCATCTCCAGGGTCTTGTGATTTACATTCAGATGCTTGGCAACTGATTCATATTTATGACGGTCACAGTGTCTCAGGGTCATGTGAAGTGACCAAAACTTGCTGCAAGCACCCAGCAGATGGGTGGAATAAAAACCAAACACCCCCCACCCCACCCCCACTGCCAATCCTCAACAGAAATGCTCACAACAATGAAAACCTCGAACAGGAGGAAGAGCGTGGCCGGGCGGGCAGGCAGGCATCTTGCTCGGCTGTGGCTTGGGGGGCACTTTTTTCAGTGCCATTGTAACTTCGAACAGTCACTAAGCAAACTGTTGTAAGTCGAGGACTACCTGTATTTTATCACTTTGTTTCTTTTTTGGGGGGGGTCATCAAGTTTTTGACACCTTGCTAGGCGACTGGTGGTACTCGGATGTTGCCATATCCTAAAAGTGGTACAATTGGTGAAAAGGTTGAAAAGCCCTGAATTAAAGCACTTTTGGGTGATCTCCTGATTTCTCTTTCTCTGGAAAAATTTAAAGAACCAGTTTAAATTGGCAGTCTTTCATTCTACATAGTGGTTGTCATCTCTGCCCATTTGCAGAGACGTCTTCAGTCCGCCATGACTCACACCAGAATCCTGTGGGAAAGCATCTTTCAAAAAAGATGCTGCCTGTCTATGCATGCTTGTAAAGAATGTGTGGATGACTTTGGGAATGAGGGAAAGAGATGTTGCTTAGGGAGCGAACAGATAAGAGAGGGAGGAGCCCTCCATTGCTTAACAGTCAGAGAAAGAAACTTAGGAAGGGCCCGCCATAATGGATGACACACTTAAAAGTGGTGGCGAGAAGTTTGCACCTTAGAGTTAGAATTCTGGGAGTTGAAGTCCACAAATCATAAAAGGGCCAAGTTTGAAGACCCCTGCTTTAAAGGATGCTCACTTGCCTAAACCAGGTGCAGATAACGCAGAGCCAGTTGTATAAGGAACCAAAGCATCATCGTCATCATACCTGCATATGAGTCTCCATCTTACTTTCAGGAGGATTGGCAGCCTTGATGTACACTGACACAGTCCAGACTTTTGTCATGATTGGAGGCGCTTTCGTCTTGATGGGGTTTGGTGAGTAGGATGTTGAGGATACAAAGACTGGGTTTCTTCTGTCATCTCAAACTGCAGAGGGCAGATCCCGGTAACCCTCAAATACAGGAAAGCACAATGGAAGTAGATGTAGGTAGTCCAGTTGCATAGCCACTGCTCAAGGAAGAGGGGGGGGTGTCAATCTATTCTCCAAAGCACCTGAAGGCAGGACAAGAAGCAACGGATGGAAACTAATCAAGGAGAGAACCAACCTAGAATTAAGGAGAAATTTCCTGATAGTGAGAACAATTAATCAGTGAATGGCCTCCTTCAGAAGTTGTGGGTGCTCCAACCCTACAGGTTTTTAAGCAGGTATTGGGCAACCATTTGTCCAGAATAGTCTAGGGTAGTGATGGCCAACCTTTTAGAGACCGAGTGCCCAAAACTGGCCTGCCTCCGCTCTGCCCCCTGCTCCGCCTCCCGCTCCGCCCCCCACAGGGCCACTCACCAGATTGCCCAGGCAGCCTTGCAACACCATGGCGGCCACGCCTTCTGCCCGCATCCCGCAACATCATGTACACGTGATGGGGTGCTAGGGTGGAGTCTTGCCCCTGCTGCCCAGCTGCCATGTGCTTGGCTGCGCTGCTCCGCGCGGGCCGTACCTGGGGGAGCCTCTCCTCCAGGCAGGCTGCTGGTGAGGAGGGGGTTGCGGGGGAAGGCGGGGCTGGGGCAACGGTGCGCGTGCCCACAGAGAGGGCTCTGAGTGTCACCTCTGGCACGTGTACCATAGGTTCGCCACCATTGGTCTAGGGTCCCTTGCTTGAGCAAAGGGTTGGACTAGAATAGTGGTGGCGAACCTATGGCACGGGTGCCAGAGGTGGCACTCGGAGCCCTCTCTGTGGGCACACGCACCGTCTCCCCAGTCCTAGGCCTTCAGCTGGGTTTTATAAAACCTTTTTGCTTTAGGCCTCTGCCGCCGTGTGCAAAAAAAAAAAAGGTTCAATCAATCAATCAATTTCAACTTCTTGTGGGGAAAAAAAAATCTCGCAAAGTTGGCATTCATTGAAATTTTTAGTCCCACCCAGTCTGCTGTTACCAAGGCAGCCACGCCCAGCCAATGGGCCACACCCACCTTATGGGCCACGCCCAGCCAATGGGCCACACCCACCCGGCACCCGACGATGCATAAGTGGGTTTTGGGTTGCAGTTTGGGCACTCAGTCTCTAAAAGGTTTGCCATCACTGGACTAAAACAGGGCTTTTCAACCAGTGGTACGGGTACCACCTGTGGTACATTGGCACCTGGCAGGTGGTACGTGACCATCCTAGAAAAGTGGTAGCGGGGGAGGGGAATGAGCTGAACCGGTGGCAGCACCGCACAAGCTTGAGCGAGAGATGGCTGGAGCTGCAGGGCTGTCAGGGCTCAGCGGAAGCGCCAGGATCAGTGCCG